GGCGAAAGCACCGGGTGGTGTTCTGTGTGAAAAGGGGAGGCGCGGGGGGGGGGGGGGGCACGCACGCGTTGCTATGGTAGTTTTAAAGGTAAATGCCAGCGACTGAGCCCACTCGGGGCCTGCTGGAGTAAGGGCTGCCTGCAGGGAGGGAGGCTGTGCCTGGCAGGAAAAGGCCCTCCTGAAGGCAGAGGGGCTGGAGCTGGCTGCTGCACCCCGGCCACCCCGTGCCCAGTGCCCCCGGCCAGCATTCACCCCACCACAACAGCAGCTTCCTTGTAAAATAAATATCAAGCATTGCCCCAGGCCTACCTGTGCCACACGCTGAGCCGCTCCTTGGAGCCTCCCCTGGTCTGGGCAGGGCCCAGTGCATCACCAGGCCTTCCCCATTACCACTTAGTCTCCTACACTGATCTTCTGCATTAATTAACCCAGCATAATGGGCCTAAGGCGGTCTTCAGAGCACCTGGCAGCTCCTGCGTGCTCTCACCCTGACCGCTGTGATTGTGTGCCGTGTTTCTGTTTGATAAAAGCCCCACCTGCGAAGCCTTGGTGTGGGTGACCGTGTGTGGAGGAGCTGACCCCCGCCCAAGCGGCACGTGCTGGGGCAGCCCTGCAGAGGTACGCTTCAGCCGCGGCCGGCGGGGGCAACCCTGCGAGGAAGGGGCTGCGGCTGAAGTTCTCGGAGGTGGCAGCAAGCAGAAGCACCACGGCAGGTGGAGGGCCACAGCCAGGGTGCCCCACGGGCTGGGCCAGCCCAGCAGGGCAGAGGGGGCCTCTGCTCACTGGTTTTATCCACAATAAAAGTACGAACAAAGCTGGAAACAAGAGTATATATCCTTGCGGGCAGACAAGGTTCTGTGCGCATGTGAAAGCCCAGGCTGCCATGCTGTGCTCTGCTGGGGAAAGGACAAGGGACCCCTCCGTCATCCTCCTGCTTCTTTTCTATGGGCTGCGACTGCCAGATGGAGCAAGCTCTGCTGACAAGGCAGGCAGGCAAAAGGCGATTCTGTGAGTCCCAACAGGCTTAAGTATAAATGACGCACCTGCTGCTCAGGTGTCCCTGCAAACTCCTGGTTACAGACATTTAATCTCGAGGGGGGACATTCAAGTTCCTCCTGGGCTGAGCAGGGACTTCTGGCAGTCTGCATTTCCAAAGCAGACACTTAAAACTGCGGTTTCCTCTCTAAACTCTTTTACGGTGACAGTCCTAAGCACAGTACACCCCCGTCTTCAAAAGTGCGAAGCATTTAACTGAAATCAGTGGGAGCTGGACAAATAAACCTAACAGCGGTGTTCTTTAATCACCAGAGCCCTTGTGCAAATTCTGCTGTGCCTGCATTCCCTCCTCGAATGCCGTATCCCTGACCATCAGTGTGGTGCATCATTGTAATGGCTAACATTCGCAAATGTGCTGAAGTTACATATTAAATAAAAATCACTCTGAACCATCCTCAATACTTTATTAACTTAAAACAATAAATATGTACCAATAAACATAAGACACTCCATAAAATCTAAATAAGGACATTGACAAACCTGTCAACAAAGTAAAAACAGCATTTTTTTAGCTGAGGCACATGCAGGGTCATTTAAGGCAAATTAAGTCAATTATACATAATGATTCCTGCCCACCTCAGCTGAGTTTAAAAATTAAAAAACAAAACCAAGTATACAAATGATGCTATTGAGTAGCTATTTTCCAGGTATTAGAACAAGCCCAGAGGGCGGAAGCCAGTAATGGTTCTGGACAGAAAGTCTGTGCCTCCCCGATGCTCGTGCCCTCCTCAGGATCACTTGTTGGATGGGTTTCTAGTTATAAGGCATAACTCTGTGCTTTGGCTTTTCCACTTGCCTTTCCCAAGCTTCCTTCTCCCCAGTGGATGCAGCAAGAAGTAACCCCCCATCCCTCAAACACACATGCACACAGCCAGGCCTTGTGCAGAGATGGCTCTGGGAGGAGAAAAAGAGCCTCTCTGTTAATGCAGTTCCTGATTTGCACCAGAACAGGTGAGAGCAGGATCAGGCCCAAGCTGATACCTTTGCTTGAAAATCCGCAAGATGTCAAACTGCACAGTTCAGTCCCGATCCTCCAGGTTTTCCTGACAGGAAACCAAGAGCGAAGCCATTCAGCACGGAAACTCAACCAAGGCAAGCGCTCCCCACACCACATGCTGATGGCTCTCTGTCATTACCATGTAAACACTGTTATACCCATGTGTCCCTGCAAGGTGACTGAAGCTACTGAAAGCTTCCGGGGTTCATCTTGGCCATGGGAGAAACATTTTCCAGCTTACAGATATTTGGTAGCTTATCTGTCTTTGGAGTATCAGCAGGCTTCATATCTAAAAGGCTTATTTTCCAGTGTTCTTTCAGAAACAGAGAGGGGGAGAGAAAGAGAGAAACCCCAGCCTTTAATTTCCGCTTTTGCAGTCATTCAGGTTGAGCTGTCCATGCATGGCCCTGTCCCTTCCTCTCCAAGCTCCTGGTCAGAAAAGTAATGCCAGGGCCTGTGCTCAAGACAGGGCTCAGGTCCAGCGGGGAAGCCAAGGGCATCTGTTCTCATAGTGTTGTAGGTGCTTTCTGTATTGCAGCTGGATTCATTTCAGGCCGTGCTGTGTCTCCCGGTGTCTCCGTAAATCCACCTTTCGTTGGAAGCCTTTGCCACACAGATCACAGCCAAAGGGCTTGAAGCCTGTGTGCTTCCGACTGTGGGTGATAAGGTTGGAGCTCTGACTAAAGGCTTTTCCACACACCTGGCACTTGTGAGGCTTCTCACCTGCAAGCAGAAGGCGGGAGAGAGAGGGTGTAAAAGAGGCAACATGCTGCTTACGCAGGACAGGAAATGCACATGGGGCCTTAGAGCTAATCAAAGTGGTTCCTGTGTGATTACCAAAGTCATTCTTATAAAAAACATGTGATTGGGAGCCCCGAAGCATTACCTGAGCCTGCACTGCAGCTGAGCAGGCCTAGACTTGGCTGCACCTCCATCGGCCCAGTATAGTCCTGGAAGCAGCCTGAAGGACGGAGCGCTCCCAGGACACCGTAACTTGTGAATACATTTGGCTGCATGGGCTCTGTGCGATTTAAACTGGCTTTGTGTCCTAGAAACATCAGGAACTCCTGGAAAGACCCCTGGGTCGTGCTGAATGCCTGACATCGATTATTATAGCATCAGCATGGGGGCAGGCAGAATAGATAGATGCAGGCTGTTAAGCCAAACCCAGTGAGCTGGGGTCTGTCCCCAAGGGAGGTATGAGGGCCCTTAAGTGAACCCTGAAGGGCAGGGTTCATCCAGAGATCTGCTCTTCTCTCCGTTCCCCACACTGCAATTCTCGCAGTCACCCCGAGCCAGGCCTGAACTTCTCCTCCAGGCAAACAACGTAAATGGGAATAAATCCAGCCTCCGGAACTTCTCCTACACAGGGGTCAGTGGCAAAACTCCACTGGCTTCCATGGGAGCAAGATCTCAGTGCATTTTCATAGTGTTTATTATCAAATAACGGATAAAAGGGAACCCAACCACAAAACCAAGCCTTATTTTCAGAGTGGCTTTGCACCTGCAGAGCCCACTGACTTCAGCTGGAGCAACAAACTCTTTGTACGTTTGAAGATCAGGTTCTCAGAAAAATAAAATAATACAAAATATGCTGGAGGCTGAGTTCACAACTGTATGCTGCATACGAAAGGGATCCCTGATTCAGGTAAGGACCTGGTTTTCTATTAGCAATTTAAAAGCCCAGGCACAGTTTCTGATCTCACAACAAAATAATGGGTTTGACTGATTCAGAATTTGGCTGAAATTCTACTTAATCAAGCCTCATTTGAAAAAGTTACTACGAAATACCTTTTGTGTTACTTCCTAAATAGTTGATTTTCATCCAGCAAACATGTGGTGGAAAATCTTTGTAAGTAACATTTATTGTTTACTGCTTGTCGCCTAGAAAAGTCACAACCAAGCAGCGTTACATATAAAGCCATCTCTCTACACATTTGCCATTTTTAGGCTTCACACTTGATATCTGCTAGTGGTCACTATCAGGAAACAGGATTTTGGTCATCTGAACCTTGGGTTTGGCCAGTACAGCTGTTATTTTGTGTCTACAAATGCTTCTGTCTCTCACACATCATTCATTTCCCTCAAATTTAAGTGAATGGTGCAGGTCTGAAGGGCAAGATTTTCTTCTGAAGATTTCTGATAAAACTGCCTTCTCACTGAATGATATTTTTAAAACTATTTCCTTCGGTGATTCACCTGCACTTTATTAGTTTCCATGTTTATTACTAACAGTGAAACTTGAGAACTCTGCAGCTCTCCTTCCATTCTGTATCAAACTGCAGCCATTTCTCAGAAAGTCCGGGTGGAAGTGCAGACAATCTCTGAACAAATATTTAGACTAAGAGTTGGACCCTAGGCCCTCCAGTTTAGTGTTTGCTCTAGAGGAGGAGACTCCTGTTGTTGCTATTGTAAATTGGTAGATCCTTCAAAAAGAAATGCTGCGATCGAATTCACCTATCATTTTCCAAGGACCTCAGCTGTAAATCAAGGCTACACGAATATAATACTCTACAAATCATTTTACACAAAAGCCCTTTGAATAAACATTGGTGGATCCTAAGGGTACACTGATTGGATTGCGAGGATTTGGGTTATTTTGCAGCTGCTGTTCATGAAACCGCATTCAAATCACCCTCCTTTGCACGAGTAGAGCTCAGACAGCATGAACAGCAGCAGGGCAGTGAGAAGCACAGGGAAGTGCACGTACTGTCTGAGCTGAGGAGGAACGGACTGCTGCAGAGAGACCTCTTCAGCAACCTGCCCCCACAGTTGGGGCTGAACACCGCCAGCTGCAGGGCTGACCTGTGTGAATGAAGGTGTGTTTCTTCATATCAGATTTCTGGTGGAACCGCTTCCCACAGTACTGGCACGGATAGGGCCGGGTGTCCGAGTGGATGAGCAGGTGGGTGGACAAAGTAGAAGATCTCTTAAAACTCTTGCCACAAATCTTACAATCAAAGCTGCGTTCCTGCAGAGAGAGGAGCCCAAACACGCACGCGTTACACCACGCCAGCGATCCCACCAGCAACAAACTGCCTGGTAGCACATCACTGTCACCCCTTCTGCCTTAGCAAGCACTCCCACTTCTCCAGAGAGCTGGACTGGCCTGAGGAGATGCTAACACTGGCATGATAGCACCACATGATAAAAAAAAGATAATGCACCCTCTCCCAGTGCTGTGCACCACTCCTCACAAAAATTTAACTGAACAGCATTTCCTGCTGGCAGGAATGGCCAGGTGGGAGCAGCCCTGACCAACCAGGCAGAGTCCGCCTGCACATATCAGCAGGGGCCCAAGACACGGTCGCTCCACTGGGAAGCCCAACAGCTCCAGCACTGTTCAGAGGCCACCTCTCTGCCGTACACAGGAAAGTGGGTGCTGAGGTCTGCTTGGCTCTCCTGGGAAATCTCTGTGGCAGGCCGACTTCTGCTGGCAGGGTAGCAACTAACTGCTTATTTGTAGTTCCATTATAATTCAAGTGAAAAGTACCTAGAGCACCTGGGGAAAACAGCTTTTTGGCTTACTACTTTAACATATCAAACTAAATGCATTAAGACCTTGCTGTCTCTCTCCTCTCCCTCACATACTCCTCTCCACCACTTTCTTCCACCATAAATCATCTCTTCTTTCCATCCCTTAACTACCATCACATCTTCCTCTTCCTGCTACACTTTCATACAATCACCTTAGTTTATTTGGCTTTTAATGCACTCTCGCTGAAATGTTGTCCCCTCCATGGGCACACTATGCAGTGCTGCTCTTTTCACCATTATTTAATGGGTGATGAGGTATTTCCCCCCCATTGTGTGCTCTGCTGTTGCACACTCATGAAATTGTAAATAAAACAGCAAAAATCCACTGCTGTAACTCTATCCTCCAAAAGCCAATCTGAAGAAGGAAGATTTGCCAGGTCAAGTGGGTGGGTGAAGGGGAAATATGGCACAATATCAGCAGGTGGAAAATGTTACAAGTCCTCCTACCAAAATTAACTACCATATTCTTTTGGTGTGTGACTCAGAGTGTGTCGAGACGGGTGAAGTCTGTGCTCTATACCTGACTGGTCGTTCAGATGTTCCCTGCACAGACACAATGACTACAAACAAGGGAAGACTCACTTCTTTGGGGGAGGGGAGGAGAAAGAATGAGGAGAGCTGCATCGAAAGAAAGTACAGTGAGTGGCTTTAGCTGTTAAAAAAAGTCCACATCCGCATTACAATCTCCAGCTCTGACAGTGAAAATTTATTATTTATTATCTGTTACTTCTGGAGTACCAAAAGTGCCCATTGCTTAACACAGATGCACGCAAGGTCTGGGGAATGGAAACAAAGCCTGTGCTCTTTAATTTGTTGATTTGCTCTTTGCTCACTAGCTGCCCATCCTTTCCTCTGCCTGCTACCACATTCTTCACCCACAACTGCCCACTGCAGCCCTACCATGTTCTCCTCCTCTCCTCAGCTTAGACGCCCGCTTACTGCCCTGTGATTGCCTTCATGGCCTCCCCAGTGCTGGCCGAAGCAAGCAGCTGGCCCTGGCCCTCGGACCTTCATCCTGGCAGTCCGCCCCGCTCTCACCTGCGAGTGCACGGCCTTGTGCTGCTCCAGGCTGACTGCATGGCCGAAGGTCTTGCCACACATGTCACAGGCAAAGGGCCTCGTGCCACTGTGTGAGCGGCGCACATGTACCTCAAGGCCATGCGGCGTGGAGAAGACCTGAGGGAAGAGAGCACATAGGGTCAGGCTTGCCAGGGAGAAGGGGCTGGGGAAGAGTCATAACCAGCATGGGAGAAAGGGATCCCTACCTTGCTGCACTTGACACACTTGTAAGAGCCAGTGCTGATAAGCAATGGGCGGCACAAGAGGTCCGACTCCACTTTGATGCCACCTGGCCCCTTCTCTTGCTGCAGCCCAGGCTGTGTCTCAGCATAGAGTCCAGGCGCTGCTGCCTGCGGCCGCTCAAACAGCCCCTGGCCCCGGGAGCCGAAGTCACCATAAAGTCCGAGGGAGGAGCTACACTCTGCACTGTAGAGGGCAGGCTCGGAGCCTTGCTCGCAGAAGACCCCCAGGGCTGAGGTTCGCTGCAGTGTCGGGCAGGGCCTGTAGCTTTGCACAAGGTGCCTCAGCTCGGAGCCACCCAGGCTGTTCCACATGTACGGTTTGAAGGGCACTGAGAAGGGGGGTGCTTCATCTAGGGACGGACACACGGATCGCTCCGAGGCTGCGGAAACACAAGGGCATGGCAATTAGTGCGCCTCACAATCCAGCCACTATCACGGGCCAGAATTGTCTCAGCACTCAGACTTGTGCCCAGAGCCAGACCCCGGTACTGTACATTAAAGCTGCCCTTTCATCTCTAATGGGAGGACATTTTATATTGCACAGTAGAGTCAGTGCATCCAGTACTACCTACTCACCTGCTGTCCCAGCCAAATTATTTAAAGCAGCCACGAATTTTGTCTACCTCCATCTCTGGGTGCCCAGGTGAGCACACACTGATCCGACTGTTGAGACACTAAACAACTCAATCTGCAACTTCCTTTGGTTTTATCTGCAGCTCCTCAGAAAAGTCTGTCTACTGTGTCCCAAGATGGGCATCAAAGCTGACAGTCCAAATGTTAAAGATCTGATGTAGATCTCACACATCCATATAGGAAATACAACATTATGGAGGTGCCAGAAGGAACAAGAGTGCCGACATTTACCTGTTCAACAAAACTAAAAACCGCTTGTTGCACAATTTAATGCCCAAATCTACTCTCTCAACTTCAGGCCACAACTGTCCGTAACTATACTGCAGCATAAATGAAATAAAGAACAGCTTCTGAGGTGTTTGAATGCCACGCCTCACTTTTTCAGAAAAAAATAAACTAAAATCAGCCCTCATCTGCAATAAAATCATGGTTGTTTCAGATTGCTCTGAGTTTCTCTAAGTAAACTGAGTCCACCCAAAACATTGAGCTTTGCAAAATCATTGGTATAAAAATTGAAGACACAAAAAGATTTTCCTAGCAGTTATATTCAAAGCGATCTTCCACCAGGACAAGCTCAGATGGCTTCAGTTGGCTCTAACAGGCTCACCTCTGGCAACAGCATCTCACGAAGGCAGTGGGCACCACCACAAGATGAATCACACTTGGGAGGCCCAGAGCAGAGTCTGATGCAATGGCAGGAGCACAGCCTTCGAGATCAGTGTCTAAAGGCACAAATGCTCAGGGAGCCTCGCATAGAGGAAAGCACAGCTAGGCAGGAACATGTGGTACCAGACCCCAACTGTGTCTGCCAGAGATGCGCGAGGTGCTCTGCTTTCACTCTTCATCACAACAGGCAGCACCACTGGGGCAGTCAAATGTCTCCTCTGGATGAATGTTTTAGTGAACCAAGGAAAAGATGACTCAATTAACTGCTGAAGTGCCGATGCCTTCACAGAGATATTGGCATCCCTTACAACTTGGGCTTCCAGAATAACCTCCCTTACCCAAAAACTTGCCCACGCACAATTGGTCTCTTGTTTTTTCTCATTCCTGTCAGCTCCCAGCTCCCACGGCTTCCTCAGCCTTCGGCAAACCAAGATAATGAGGAGTGGGCTAGGGAAGGAAGGTATGATGTGTTAAGATATCCATTTGGATAGGCAGATGGTCACTGAGGGTTAGAGAAGGGAGTGGGAAATGAGGTGAAAATTGAGCTTTGAATGACTTGACTGTTTCCTATCTTTTACATAATTTCGGATGTTAACAGTCTCAAATTCTTCCATTGAAATTAGCAGTCTTTTGGTTGGAAATATATGCGCACATACCAACTGGGACATTTGAACAGAGCGATGAAATCAAATTAGCTGAATAGTGCTGAGCATGATTTTTCCTGTTCTGCACTGACTGCAAAGTTGTGGTCAGCATCACATCATCTGTCTTGTGTCTTTGCAACCAGTTTCAGTGTTGCCATCTCTCACGATTTTATCGCAAGATTCAAAACTATCTTAAAGCCCCAGCTCTTGAAACTGCATGATTTCATCAGGCCCTCAGCTTTCCTTTTGTTTGCTTGTTCTCGTTGTAACTTTTTTTTTCCTCTTAAAGTCAACTTCTAGCCCAGACTGTAAACAAAAGCAAGAAAATGTAAACCCTCAATATTTCAACACTAGAACTGAATATCCATAAGGTATTACTTACAATCTTGATTTCTAAGCCAGTCCATTGAGTGAGAGGAGAGGGAAGGCTGACCTGATTTTTGAGCCCTTCCAATTGGCAACACAGGACATGGTAAACATTGCACCACAGATCAGTTTGCGTGCAGTGTTCCTTCCATCACCTCACATGCTTTGGAGACCTCTCAAGCACAAGTGCAGAGGAGCCACTCATGCTATACTTCTCAGGGGCAAGCTCAAGCCATCCAAGCCCTGTACCCAGTATCAAAGTGACCTGCAAACCCTGCTCTGCCACACTTCAGGGCACTTCTGTGTCTGCGTCTCCTCCGATCCACAGCATCTAGGCCTCCAAGGGAAGAGCATGGAGAGAGAGACAGATTCTCCCTCCTCTTGCTAGCAATTCTGTGCAGCCTTTATATAGACCACTTCTGGGAGAAGAAACATCAATGCTGTTTTTTGAAGGCAAGGCAAACTCAACCTGAAATGGTTGAGAACAGATTGATATGCACGGCAAAGAAAGATTCAAGCATCCTCCTCCACAGACCACAAAACACCAGACTCTGTGCAGCTCCATTACACCCAGTAAAAGGCTCCTTCCCAAACTGTACCATCAACAGGCTCATCAGGAGATACTAATACACTGCTGTACTGAACTATCAGGCACCTTCTGTATATGCAAACACACGTGATTACAGACACACATAGAAAGTGAGGTTAAATAACAAAGTGAATTGCACTGATGGAGTCAACAATGTACTAGAGTGTTAACAATCCTATAAAGGTATTGTGTCTGTGCATGCCTGCCTGGATCGGCAGCACAGCACTCAAAGACAAACCTGAAATCTGGCTTTCGCCAAGTATTGAAGCGCAGCCTGCACATACGTTCACTTCTAGGGATAAGGGGGTGATAGTACTACTCACCGCACCTGCCCTGAGCATGATTTAGAAACATCATTTCTCATCTGCCCTCCCTGTCAAAGCACAGAAACTGTACCCCACCCAGACAAACACAATCATAGAAATCCAGTCTCTCACCAATGCGTCTTGCAGAAGTGACCTAGGCACAAATTCCAGCTTCGCACCGAATCTGACAAAGCAGCTGGAAGGCAGAGGGGAGCTGCGGGAGGAAGCCTGACTATCTAATCTTGCTGCCACTGCCTTCATCGTTAACATAACAGCATCTCTCTCAATGCACTGTGGTTCATTTAATAAAGCTCTTTCCTTACGGTACTTGCAGTCCCTTACCTTCCCGTTCCTCCTGTGAATGGGATTAGACAGTCCCAGTACCGTGCCCCCCCCCCCGAAAAATCTTGATCTGGGGATGTCACCCTCATTTTGCAAAGATGCCTCCCCTGGGTAGCTGGATGGGTGGCGGGGAGCTAACGAATCCCACAGCGGGGGAAGAAATGAGTGGGGAGGAGGAAAAGGCAGAGCAGCCCTGGTAAATACCTGCTCCATTTTACGTCTGTCTTTTAGATACCTCGTAAAAATTATCTGTTTCCCATGCAGAAATTGTAATTATTTGGGGAAGGAGGAGCAGGACAAATTTGTTAGAATAAAAATTACACACATTGCTACACGTTATGCAGAAATATTAGCAAAAGAGAGACTACTGCATTAAAACATTCCTGCATTTGGTCCAGTCAGTCCTTGGCACAGACTGAAACTGTCCCGTAGCTAGCTGTGATGATACTGGGCAGCATTTTGAATGTCCCCTCAAAGGGCTTTAAGACTTAAAAGAGGGGGAGGCTTTAAAAATGCAAACCCACATCATTACTATCAGCCGTTGACATGCAAGGACACTATAAAGACGAAGTGGGAAAACCAGTGGGGAAATGGGACAAAGTATTTTTTTGCTGGTGTCTGCTGTTGGTAAAGCTGAGACAATTTTTCCTTTGCTAAGACAGAAATTGTTCTTTTTTCCATCTGTCACTTTTTAACTGAAAAAATAAGAAGTGTTTTTTATATATATATATTTTTGTTATAAAATGACACCATTGTATTTTTAAACGAGATAAGTATTCGCGCCAGGCTGGGGACAGCATCTCCCACTGCTCCAACCACATCAAAGGCAGGACGAGGGAGCTAGAGACAGGCACTGCAGCCATAAGTGTGAGTTTCCTGGATTTGGGGTGTTTAAATCTGACCGTCATTATTTTAATCTCGTTTTTACGAATGTGTTTTTAGAAAAGAAAAAAAAAAAAAACAACAAAAAAAAACAAAACGAGAAGGGGGGGAGGGAGAGATCCTTTTTATAGGCAAGACGCAAGAAATAACCTGAAAGGGAGTTAGGGAAAACGTCTAGCAGGTAGTACAAAACACAAAGTCAACGCTGTTTACTAGAGATATATAGATAGCCTAGTAGAAATTTTTAGTGTCTTAAAAAACATCTGAACTCCGGGTAGCTGGACCCTGTAGGAAAATGCCGGGACCTTTAAAACATAACCAGCTTGCCTCTAACAATTAATCAGAAACCAAAAAAAATCAACGCCTGATGGCATCACAACTTTCCTACAGCCTGGAGATGGGCTGGAAAAGAGAGAACCCGAAAATGAGTGGAAGGGACAGATTTGCCTTTTCCCACTGCGAGGGAAATCTGTCCCTTCCACTCGTTTTCGACGGCGGCGTCCAGCCATGAAACATTGCCCCACGGCACCGACACAGACACGCAGCCGGACCCGCTCGCCCCGGTCCTACCTGGCGAGACGGAGGGCGAGGGAGGTCTCCAGAAATCCTCAAATTCGGACACCCTGTCACAGACGCTGCCCTCGCAGCTGGGCGCTGACTCGGAGGTGCCATCGGCAGCCTCGGTAAGGTGGGATTCCGGGGAGAAGCGCCCTTGGGAAGGCTCCGGCTCGGGCAGGACGGTGCGGCACAGCCCCGGATCCTCGGGGATCTTGCTGTCTGCAGGGAAAAGGGGGCGAGGGGCTCCTCAGTGCGGGTCCAGGGTGGGAACCAGCCACCTCCCGCGGCGGCCCCTCTCCCACCGAATTTGCTGCCGGACTCTCTCCAGCCCCGCATCGGCCCGCAGGGGCTGCGGCGCCGGGGGCCTGCACAGCTACCGGCCAGTGCTTGTGCCGCTGGCAGCGGGGCAGTGCGGGACGGGCGGGCTCTGACCGGGGGACTCCTACCTGCACAGATCTGGGCTAGCACCGTCTCCAGCCGCAGGCTGTAGTCCTCGTCAGCGGAGCGGGGCTGGTGGTAGCTGTGCGCTTTCTTGCTCTTCACTAGGAAGGACCTCGGCATGGTGGGGTGCTGTCACGGCCGGCGCGGCCGCCTTCCCTCTCCAAGCGC